CTATTCCAGGATAAAGACACCTAGACAGAGGCCTGAATGTAAGGCAGGTGCTATCCCGGGGCCCACCAGCAGGCAGGGCACAGTTCCTTCAGGCTGGGGAGGAGGTGGGCCAGAGGAGGAAAAGGGTAGTTGGGGTGGAGGACTCACAGTCTTGAGAGGCGGAATATCAGGTGCCGATCCCTTGAGGGTGTGGACCGTATCCTATGCAGGGCTACCCCCTCGGCGGGGAGCACAGGGCTTGGCAAGCATCAGGGCCTCGGTGAACTCCTGTGGAGCCCTCAGCACCCGCAGAGATAGATCTGGGGTCAGAGTGATGACCAGACACCTGACGGGTCTGTGGAGGGTGAGCCTCAGAAGGTGGGTTCAGGGTCAATAGGGGCGTCCTTGAATGCCACGCTAAGGAGTTTGGATTTTGTTCCTTAGGAGGTGGGAGTCAATTGAAAGTTTCTGAGCCCGTGTTTTATAAAAAACAATTACACAAATAATAACTGCTAACACTTAGTAGTCACTTGCTGTGTGCCCAGTACTATTCTGAACACTTACCAACTCATGGAAGTGTCACCCTATATAGTCCTGCGAAGGAGGTACTGCCGTTACCATCCCTGTTGTACACAAGAGACAGCTGAGGCCCAGAGAGGCCGAGTCACGGGCCCAAGGTCACACAGCTGGGGAGTGGCAGAGTGGCGATCTGAGCTGAGGTTTGGAACTAGAGCGTTTACTATCTTATTGTGTCTATGAAATGCAAGTATTTAACTAACCTATGATGTGAGTGGTTTATGAGATGGCATATGACTTAACAAATCTCAGCTAATTGCCGGCACCAGAGAGGCAGGCACGGACAGGGCCCTCGGCCACAAAGGGCCGTACCCCTAAGAGCGGAGGCTCAGAAATCCGCCCTGGAAACAGCCTGGAGGGTGTGGCCACCTGGTCCCGGGCCTGTGAGTTTCACTCGGGAGCTGCTCTTTCCTGCCTCCGACACGCTCCGAAATTCGGTGAAGATCCCTGCCCTGGGCACGCCACCCGCAAGAGCCACCAGGCCTTTGTGGTCAGAGCTACGTGAGCATCTCGATTCCTCATTTCTGTTCACCCCGGGCCTGTGATTTCCACAGGGTGGGGTTTCCAGAGCTGGCAGCGTCACACCCGCACCTGACTTTCATCACCTTCTCGGGAACATCGGCCAGATTATCCTCCCTGGCTCTGAGGAGGGGGCGGGACAGCAACCAGCAGATCAAGGTACAGGCTCCACAAAGCAGAGGTTGTGTGTGTCACCCCCTTCACACACACACACACACACACACACACACACACACACACACGTCCTCCCCACAAACTGGCAGCCAGGCGTGGCACCCACAGCCACAAATGAGGCCATTAGGGCGATGGGGCGCTGGCCGCCCTGCCGGCTCAGTGCCACCTAAGAAGCAGCTGCCCGCTCCGCGATGAGCGATGAGCGTGGGGCCGGGAGGCAGGGCCCAGGCTCCAGGCCCAGCTCTGCCATCCGCTGGCTGTGCCGCTGGGTGGCAGAATCCTGAAGTCGGGGTGCAGGGAGTCACCTCCTGGCTCCCTGGCTGTCTGGCCAGGTGACTCGGGTGGGGCCCGGGGAGGGGTGAAGCCGACAAGTCCCATCTCCCTAATCCTCTGCCTTCTCGTCGGTAAAGTGGGGGTGCCGGTTCCCACTTCGCAGAGCGCTGTGGGGTCAGGAGAGAGTTTGTCAAGCAGCACTTGGTGGTGCTGGGTCTCCCCCTCCACCCCCTTCCACTTCTCTTGTAAAGTGTAAGCAATACGGGCTGAGGCTGAGGCCGAGGCCAAGGCTCTAGGTGGGTGTGGGGACCCGAGACCGAGACCGAATGGAAAGCCCTGCCCTGGCTGTGGGCGGGCACAAACATAGGGCTGCCATTGTTGCTGGAATGTCACACACCTGCTGGGGCCTACGAACTCGCACCTAACAGCCCGCTAAGCCATTCCCACGCCTGCCTTCCGGGGTTCAGTTCCACTTCCGGGCCCCGGGCAGGCGTTCCAGGAAGGGCCCCTCGTCTTTTGTGGAGAAATAAACAGCTCTCCATCTCTGTGGATTTCTGCTTGGGAGGTAGTGAGCTTTCCTCCTTGTCTGCAGACAGGCTGCAGTGAGGGACAGGGCAGGGGCAGCCTGGTCTTTCTTGCTCCCCTCCCTCCCCCCCTTACCCCCCTCCTACCTTCACCATGAGCTTCCAGCCCCCACGAGATTCAATCCCTACCTTCAAGATTCTCCCATTTAGAGTCCAAAGTGCTGTGTACTTCCGTAGAAGGAAACGGGTTCGAGGCCGTGTGTGGGGGATACAGAGCAGGGATCAGAGGCTGCCTGGGGTCAGGGGAGGGTGGTCAGGCGAGCTTCCCGGAAAGGGTGACCTCTGAGATGAGATGAAGGGGGAGGAGCCTTGCTTTACTGCACCTGGGCAATTTTCTTCCCTGAGCCTCAGTGTTAGGCTCTGCGAAAGGGGCCAGTAATTCCTGCTTCAGAGGGAGGGTGAGAGGCTTAAATGAGACGATGGGTAAGAGAACTGACGAGCAGACCCTTCGGTGTCCAGAAAGTAGTATCTGCTGTGCCAGGAAGAGGGGATGCTTGGTGAACTGAACTTCTTAAGCGTCTTTTCCTTGAGTGTTTGACACCTGTTACTTCGTGTAACCAGCTGTCCTAGTTTCAGGAAAGGCTCAGCTGTAACCCAGCGTGATGTAAAGAAGCCTAGGGCCCTTTCTCTCCTCCACTCCGTGGGGGTGAGGCACGAGGCTCCAGAATTAAAATTCTTGTCGTAAAGCCCTAGCTGGTTTGGCTCAGTGGATAGAGCGTCGGCCTGCAGACCGAAGGGTCCCGGGTTCGATTCCAGTCAAGGGCACTTACTTTGGTTGCAGGCTCCTCCCCAGCCCAGGCTCTGGTTGGGGCTCATGCAGTAGGCAACCAATCAGTGTGTTTCTCTCACATCGATATTTCTCTCCGTCTTCACCTCTCTCTTCCACTCTCTCTAAAATTCAATGGAAAAATATCCTCAGGTGAAGATTAAAAAAAAAAAATTCTTGCCATAGTACTGTGCCTGCCCCGGACTTGTGCCCCTTACACAAGTGTCCTTTGTCCTCGGGCATTGCAAAGTTAGATGCAGGGGGATTTACAGGATCCTTGTCACTTCCGCTCCACTCACTTTCACTGTTTACTGAGCCCCTGCAGCAGCCAGGTGATGGGATTCTCTGCCAGACCAGGCCCCAGTCCAGATAAAGTTCAGTGTAGTTCAGTTGGTTGGGTGTGGTCCCATGCGCCAGAAGGTCTTGGGTTCAGTTCCCGGTCAGGGCACACATATGCGCAGGCTGTGGGCTCCATCCTCAGTAGAAGCATGCAGGAGGCAGCCAATAGGTGTTTATCACATCGATACTTCTCTCCCGCTCCCTTCCTCTCTAAGAAAAATCTATAAAAATGTATTCAATCAATCAATAAGTGTCTGGGTGAGGGGAGGAGAAACTTGGAGAATCTGAACAACCATGAAGGCCACACAGCGAGGGTGTAGGAGAGTGAGGTGGGGAACAGCACAGGTGAGGATCGGGCGGGCAGAGTCACGGGGGACTGTCCCTGCAGAGCTGTAAGCCAGGGGGTGACAGGGTTCGCATTCGCCTTTGAAAGCCCCGCTGTGGCTGCGGAGAGGATTCGGGGCGGGCAGGAGTGGACCAGGCGCTGTCCGGGTGGCTGTGACCCTCTCTGAGCCTGTGGCTTCGCTGGATCAAATAGGGACATGAGCAGAAGTGCTTTGGGGGGAGCTGGGAAAATGTAGGCAGTCCAGGTCTCACTTGAAGTGGAGGGTTAGGGTCTTGGGTGCAAGGGAACATGGGTAAATTCCAGAGTCTTTACTTGAGCACCCGCATGGGAAGGGAGGCCTCGGGCTGGGGAGAGAGACCTGCTTGAGGCTTTTGGCTCCTTGAGAGACCTGAGCTGAGGGTTGGGGGGGGGGGGGGGGGGGGGACAGGGGGAGGGAGTCACAGCTTGGAGCTTGGGGGCAGGCTCTGGCTTCCCCTCCAGCCACCCAAATGTGCTCTCAGCTTTTTTTTCTCTCCATGTCAGGGGAGTGCTCTGGAATTTCTGAAACCATTCATGAACTCTGGCTTAAAGAGCTAGAGGACGGGGAAGAGGAGCTAGATACCTGTCTTTTTCATTCTGCCTCTTCTTTCCCGCTCATCTTGGCAGCTCAGAGGAGGGGACCCCCGCCGAACGGTGGGAGGGACCTCACACTGTTGTGGGCCAAACCAGGGGCACCTCCCTAACACCTGGTTCCTGGTGGCTGCCATCGGGCATTACTGACGGGGCTTAAGGTAAGGTGATCAGACGTCCCGCTTTCGGCGGGACAGTCCCGATTTTAACAATTTGTCCCGCGTCCCAAAAATCGGGACTTTTTAAAAACGCAACGGGATGCGGGGAAACATCGTTAAAAATCGCGACGTCTGGTCACCTTAGAAGGTTTCCCACCCGGAGAGGCTGCTGTCAGGCCCCTTCCTGCCGCTGCGCCCTGATCCCCGGGAAAAGGGGTCTCCCCGGAGCCTCGGGGGTCTCCTGGTGGGCGGGGAGGGGACCTGAGCTGTGCATGGACCTGGCTCCGCCCGCCCGCGAAGGTGGCGCAATGCCGGGGCCGCAGCCCAGCCGCCCAGACCTGCGGGGCGTGCGGCGGCGGCGGCGGCGGCGGCGGCGGCAGGGACCCCGCGTCTGGGGCGCAGCGCTGTGGGCGCTGGGGCTGAGGGCTCTGGGCTGAGGGCGGAGTTGCAGAAGCGCTGGGTGCAGGGTGCTGGGAGGCGGGACCCTCCCCGGCGGGCTGTCGGTGGGCTGGTCCGGTGTCCGGGCCGGGGCGGGGCGGGGCGCGGCGGGGGCGGAGGTGGCGGAGGTGGCCGCGGAGGTGGCGGTGGCGGTGGCAGCCGCGCGCCCGGCCGCTTCTCCATTCGGGGTGAGAGCCATGGAGGCGCTGAGGGAGTCCGTGCTGCACTTGGCCTTGCAGATGTCGACCTACAAGCGGGCCACGCTGGACGAGGAGGACTTGGTGGACTCACTCTCCGAGGGCGGAGACGGGTACCCGAACGGCCTGCAGGTAGGAGCCCGGCCCCCGGGAGACTCCCCCGTGGGGTGGGGGGGACTGGGCATGCGCACTGGGGTTCCCCTTCTCTCTCCCCCCCCCCCATCCTCCCCCTCCCGCGCACCTCCGCCCCATCCTGCCTGCCCCAGAGGGGTCCAGAGCCTTTCTGGGGCAGAAGTGACCCCGGGGCGCTGAGCTTCCCCACCAGCCTCCCCTCATCAGCTCTGCCTTCCCGAATCCTCCAGAATCCTCCCCGCCAACTGGGGAACTACAGCCGGGGTGGCAGAGGTGAAGCCCGCACTCCCCCTGCCCTCCGAGCTGAACTGGTCCCGTTCCCTTTCACAGGGGAGGCCGTTCCCGGGCCCTGAGGGCCTCCCCTGGACCACACAGCCTGTGTGACTGGCAGAGTCTAAAACTGCCGGCATACCCCCCTCTCGGCCCTGGCACCATGGGCAGTTGGTCACCCTGTCTGGTAGCTTACTCTGTTCTTCCTCTTTCCACCCAAATACCTGAAGGATTGGGGGGGGGGGGGGGGGGTACCATCTTCTGCCACTTCTCAGCAGCGGCTCTTCACCACCTCCCTGTCTGTGGCTCCACGGTGAGCAGGGCTGCTTTCCGCTCTTTCCCTGCGGGGCCTGTCTTTCCTCCAAGCTGGTTAGATCGGTCCGGGGAGACCCGAACTCATGACCCTGCCCTTACCTACATCCTCCTCCTTCCCGGTCGGGGCCACCCCAGGAGCTGTGGGGGTTACTTTTCCCACTTCCCCGCGAGGGAGCTGAGGCTCTTCGAGGGCAGCCTGCTCTGTGGGTCACAGAGCCAGGAACCTGGGAGTGAGAAATCAAACCCAGTCCGTCCAGCACCTCCTCCCCGCGGACACTTCTTCAAAGGCTAAATCCCTCCGGAAATGAGATTCCTGTGGCAGGCACTATTTCCTTCACCAATCAAAACAGAATCTAATCAGCAATCTCTTCAGTCTCATCTTCCACAGCAGGTCCTAAATATATCAGCACAAAAGCATTTGGAATGCACAACAAACTAATGTCACAATGGCAGCCCACGTGGGCACAGCCCTTTTCAGGTCACGGAGTGTGTGTGTGTGTCCCGGCTGCCTGGCCTGAGTTGAAAGTAGTTCTGTCCCTGAAGCCGGGGGCTCAGGTTTAAGTTCTGACTCCATTCTCAAGGTCTTGGGTGAGCTGCTTACTCTCCCTTTAAACCACAACTTCCTCGTCTGTAAAATGGGCGTAATGCACGGGACGGGCCTGCTAGGATGGTTGCTTTTATGACCTATGAGGTAAGCGCCCCTGCGGCCATATTGCACAGGGTAAAGCTGAGGCTGGAGAGATTAGGGAGATTCCAGCGGTCGAAGAGATATCTTGTGGGTTGGAGTGCAGTATTGGTGCCCTACACCAAACGGGATGCGTTGCTCCCTCCTTATACAGGAAAAGCAGGAAAAGTTGCCCCAGGGATTCGGGGCATTTCTGTGGGTACCCAGTCTGGCTTGCCTTAAGCCTCCACAACCGCCCCAATCCGGTGCTTTTTCTCCTGAGACTCGAGAACCTACCCACCCGCCTCTGACAAAGCAGAGGTTTCTATGGATTTTATGGTTTTTGTCTTTTGGGATTTTTTTGTTGTTGTAAATCCTCACCCGAGGATATTTTTCCATTTTTAGAGAGTGGAAGGGAGAGGGAGAGACAGAAGGAAACATGGAGACAGAAGGAAACATTATTGGTTGCCTCCTGCATGCACCCCAACCAGGGCCCGGGGAACCTGCAACCAAGGTATATGCCTTTGACCGGAATCGAACCTGGGACCCTTCAGTCCTCGGGGCCGATGCTCTACCCACTGAGCCAAGCTGGCTAGGGCTAATTTTATGTGTTTAGTCACTGGGTTTTCCCCCCCAGTATATCGACTTTACATGCTCATTTGTGGGCGGGGGCAGGGGGGGGTAGAGGGGAATCCAGTATTAAAAAAAAGATTTAAAAATAAACAGTAATCCCACTGCTCACAGATAACCACTTCTGGTTATTTATATTTGCATGTATGTATTTTTAAACATAGTTGAAGATACAAAGTTGCATCCTGCTTTTCTCATTGAATGCCACTGAATAAGCATTTTTCTCTTTGGAGGTTGTTAAAAACCTCCAAAACATGCTGCCATTACAAAACATAGTACCTCAGCCTGACCAGTGTGGCTCAGTTGGTTGAGCATCATCCTTGCACGGAAAGGTTGCCAGTTCAATTCCCAGTCAGGGCACATGCCTGGGTTTTGGGCTCAATCCCGAGTTGGGGGTGTACAGGAGGCAGCAGATCGATGTCTCACTTTCACATCGTTGTTTCTCTTTCTCCTCCCTTTCTCTGTCTCTAAAAGTCAATAAAAAGTGTATTTTTAAAAACCATAATACCTCTTGGTACCAATGTATAAAAATACGGTCAATCACTATAGTTGGACAATAGGCCCAAACACTGTAACACTACTGGGTTTTTTGTTTGTTTGTTTTTAAAATATATTTTATTGACTTTTTGCAGAGAGGGAGAGAGAGTTAGGAACATTGATCAGCTGCCTCCTGCACACCCCCTACCAGGGCTATGCCCGCAACCAAGGTACATGCCCTTGACTGGAATCGAACCCGGGACCTTTCAACCCGTAGGCTGACACTCTATCCATTGAGCCAAATCAGTTTCGGCTGTAACACTACTGTTGACCCTCTTTTAGCCTTTTGGATAATTTCCTATGAGTTGTTTTCTAGAAACACAACTGTACCCTCCCGTTTAGGCTTTTTAAAATGGACCCGTCCTCCCGAATCTTCCTCTCTTGACAGGCAGCTATAAAAATAAGCTGCTTGGTTTTTCAAAACTTTGGAGCCCATTGGTTCTACCAACTCCAGTGACTGATACGGATACTGGCCAATGAACACTCGCATCTTTCAGCCAAACTTGCCACCTCCATTACTGAATACACCAACGAAATGTTGACTTTAGCCGGAGCCAACTTCTCCCTGTATCTCATCTGAAAGGGGTTTACTTTTCCTTTATCTCACATTTCAGTCACAAATTCATTGTGAGTCCCCAAAATCAGTCACTGTGGCCGGCGTGCAGAATTCACAGTCAGCTGGCTCTGACCCGGAGCCCCTGCCTTGCCCCTCATGGACCCTCAGACCTGGAAGCAACTCACTTAGACAGCTTTTTTATTTTATTTTTTATTTTTGTGCAACGTGGGGTTAACATTATTTTTTTTAATATATTTTATTGATTTTTTTACAGAGAAGAAGGGAGAGAGACAGAGAGCTAGAAACATCGATGAGAGAGAGTCATCGATCAGCCACCTCCTGCACACCCCTCACTGGGGATGTGCCTGCAACCAAGATGCCCCTGACCGGAATCGAACCCGGGACCCTTCAGTTCCCAAGCCGACGCTTTATCCACTGAGCTAAACCGGTTTCGGCAGGGGTTAACATTATTAATCCGCCTCTCAGCGCTGTTGCACAGGCTGGCGTGAGACAGTGTAAGGACAGCCTTTGTACAGGGCACAGCAATGGATGTGGCTGTTCTCAGCAGCAGCATCGAAACTCACCGTGATGTCTCCGTGATGCCCTGCATAGAGGAGCTGTTCCCTGGGAGCCTGTGCTCCGGGCCCACGGGCGGCAGGCCTCCCCTCCCCCCGCGCACTCCCTGTCCCCGGCTTAAAGCGAGAAAGCCAGCGCTACTCCTCAGCCTCAACGGGGGAGTCATGGCCGTTTACCAAAACCTTTAAAACTCATCCAGTGACTTCTAAAAATTCGTTTTTTCATACCAAAAAAGAAAGGCTTTTTAAAATACTTATATTTTACATTTAATTCTTAGTGGTTTTTCCTTTTTTTTTTTTTTTTTTTTTTTTCCCCTGCCACATACACATCAATCTTTTAAGCGTGACTTCAGGGGCAGTCCCACTCAAAACTTTGAAAGACCTCTCTGCTTATCAGGAGGTTCTTTCAACTCCACCCACCTGTGAGAGACTCACACTGTTGGCCGAGTTGTCCTAGAATCTGAGGTGGTCAGACCTGGGACCTCCTCCAGTGTACTCATTTTAAAAAATATTTTTATTTCTTTCAGAGAGTAGAGGAGAGAGGGAGAGAGCTAGAAACATCTATGATGAGAGAGAATCATTGATTGGCTGCCTCCTGCACATCCCCACCCTGGGGATCGAGCCCGCAAACCGGGCCTGTGCCCTGACCGGGAATCGAACCGTGACCTCCTGGTTCTTAGGTTGATGCTCAACCACTGGGCCATGTGGGCCGGGCCAGCGCACTCATTTTAAAGATAGGGGACCAAGGCCCAGAGGCTGCCCAGGGACGCCTGTGGGGTCTTAATAAAGTCCAGGGCGACCTTTTCTCTTGCTCCACTGACATCCTTCTGGGAAGCACAGGGAGCTGGAGAGAGCTTCTCTGGATACCAGACTTCAATTTCTGTCTAAGATGCAAGGTCTGTCTCCTGCAGCAGGTGCTCCTGTAAGCTCTTCTCAGTCACTGAAAGGGTCAGGCTTGGCGGCCGGGGGCTGGGTGGGGCTCAGAGTAGAGACGGGGAGGACCAGAGGACTTACAGTTTTGCTCCGGACTGGCCTCAGTGTCCTCAGCTAGAAGTCTGCCATACGGAAACTTCTAGAAGAAACCTCCCCAGCCTAACACCCTCACGGAGGCAGAGTGCCACCCAGGGCCCAGCTGTCATGGTCTGTCTGCTCTGAAAGGCTGGCTCCGGGGCAGGCAGCCTGGCCGCTCTGCCAGGCTTCAGAGGGTGGCCGAGCTCTTGGCCTGCGGGGGGTGGGCTCCCTGCCAAACCCTTGGCCAGATCGACACCTCTTGTCTGCTCTGTGGAGCCCAGGTCGCCGGGGGCTTGGTGGTGGTTCAGCCACTGCCGTCCCTCCTGACCCCCTGCTTGGTCTGAAAAGCGGGCTTTGCCCGCCGCCCACTCCTGCTGCTGGCCTGTCTCCTGGGCCCCGGGCAGCGGTGGCCTGTCCTTGCCCGCACAGCTGCCTGCAGAACCCGTTCTGGCCGTAAGCCTCGGCGAGGCAGGCGCTCACTTCTGTAACCGAATCTTTATCCCTCATCAGGGCTTTGTTCCCTTGGCTGTGGAAACCCTGGGAACCTGGACTGCACGGCTCTGCTGTTCCTCTTACTCCCGTCTGTCTCTCTGGCTCTGCCTGTCTCTCCTTCTGTCTCCCTCTTTGCCTCCCTCTTTCGATGGCCTCCCTTTCCTTATGTCTCATTCTCTCTCTGCCTCCCCCGGCAATAAGTGGAATGGGAAGCCCACCGACGAGCGGAGCATTTACAGCAATTCTCAGCTCCATCATCTGGGCATCCGCTCTGCACCGGGGCCGATGGTCACGTACCCAAGGCGGAGTGGGCCGCCTGCCGCTAACGCTCCTCCCCTGCCAGCCGCTGCCGCTGCCGCCGCCTCAGGCTGGTGATTGACATGCCCTCCTTTCCCAGAGCAGCCTGAGAACCCATGTGCATCCTCCCCTGGCTGTGAACCATCTTGCTGGGTTCTCTGAAGGAGGCGGACCCCGGGGGCTCGGCCAGGAGAAGGACTGACCAGCAGCTCAGCTTTACACCCAGGAATGGGACAGCCCTCCTGGAGAGATCTCACCCTCTGGAGAGATCTCCGGCCCGGGGCCCCGTGCCTCCAGGTGACTTCTGCCCCGGGGATGCCTCTGGATTCCTTCCACCCTCCGAGATGGGATAGGGCTGGTCCAGAAGCCAAGAGGCCCTCAGCCGGGCAGCACAAGTCCAGCGAAGACCGTGACAGAAGTCAAAAACCCTATTTTCAGATTCCGGGTGCCGTGTCTGCCTGGCACCGTGACTTTCTAATTTAATTCTGACTGAATTCTTATTGGATTTTACCGTGAACACTGTCTGTATGCTTGTCATTAAACAGAGAGGCTCAGCTCGACTCCGCTCCTGGGGCAGCACAGCCCTTGGCAGAGGCTGTGGGTTCCGGAGAGAGGTGGCCTCTCTCGCTGTCTCCCTCCTCCACCCCCGCCATGTCCCGAGTTCCTTCTGACCTCATGCTCATACCTGCTCTCAGGTAGGATAGCACCGTCTAGCAACAAAGTGGAATCAACCCAGTGCCAGGCACGCAGGAAGCACTCAAATATTAGCCGCCTTGTTACTCTTTTCTTCTCCTTTCCTCCCCCGCCTCGGTTCCTTTTGTTTCTTCTCGCCCTGCACCTCCTCAGACTCCCCACCTGTCCCGCCTTTGCTCTGTCCACCTAAGGGCAGGTTTCCCGCTCCCTCCGCTTGCTGCCTGTGCTCCCCGGCTTTTTTGAGAGCCTGCATCTGGCACGGCGCTCCCTGCCTCTGCCTTGCACGCCTCCCCCACGAGCTAAGCCGTGATGGAAATGAGCCTTGATCGTGGGGCACGGAGGGGCCTTGAGCAGGATGCAGAATGTGGCACAAGCCCGGGGGCAGGACAGCAGGGAGACGGAGAATAGATGTCACGTATCCTTCGGGGCCCTTCTGAATACAAGGTGAACTGTGAGAAAATGGATGCCTGGGCAGAGGCACTTCTACTAAGGCCACCAGATCATCCCGGTTTGGGCGGGACAGTCCCGACTTTTAACAGTTTTTCCTGCGTTCTGCTTTTTGGAAATCGGGGCTCTATTTAAACCGCCGCGGGACTCAGGTAAAAATTGTTAAAATTCGGGACTGTCCCGCCAAAAGCGGGACGATCTGGTCACCTCCTGGTGCATGGACGTGTCAGCATCATCCCAGGCTCTGTCTCCGCACCAGGCCTCCCAGCCCGGTGTGACCTTCATGGTAGCACCGTGGTCAGAATCCTGGTTTCTCGCCTTTCAGAAAGGTTCTGAAAGGAGGTCAGAGGGCGGGCCCCCTCCCCCGCTGGTGCATCTGCTTCAGTTTCTGAGCCTCCTGGATCTCCGTGGAAACTGTGACTGGGCCCCAAGTTCCTTTTCTCGTTTTCAGAAACCAGTTTTCCTTTCATGAGAAGTTCGTGTGTTCCTCTTTCTCTGGTGCGGCCATTCCTCGTCATTTCCTGGCCATAAAATGCCCAGCGGTGACCAGGAGGCCACTCAGCGCCCTTCCGTTCCTGGGTGACCAGCCTGAGGTCCCCCAGGGCCGGCGTGAGGCCCTGGCGTGGCCTGGCTGTTGGTAGGGCACTTGCAGGTCTGAGCCTGGGGCCCCCCATCTACCCTGGCGACTCCTTTGCCTCCCCACCCCTGGCAGGCTGCAGGTGTCTCTGCCACCGAGCCTTGCTCCCTTCACCTGGGCCTTTCCAAAGGGCAGAGCCTGTCGTGTCACTCCAGTTTGCATTCTTTAAACCAGCTTATAGGCCCTGGCCGGTCTGGCTCAGTGGATAGAGCGTCAGTCTGCAGACTCCAGGGTCCCAGGTTCGATTCCGGTCAAGGGCATGTACCTTGGTTGTGGGCACATCCCCGGTAGGGGGTGTGCAGGAGGCAGCTGATCGATGTTTCTCTCTTACCGATGTTTCAAACTCTTTATCCCTCTCCCTTCCTCTCTCTCTAAAAAAAAAAAAAAAAAGTATTTATATTAAACCATCCTACAAGGTGCCCCTTTAGATCTTGGCCTTGCTGCTCTCCAGTTCCCTCCCCCACCGGCTCCTACTTATTCTTCAAGACCCCACCCAGGCGTCCCCACCTCCGGGAAGCCTTCCCTGCCCACCCAGCCTGTGTCTGTCTGCCTCTCTTCTGGGCTGTGAGCCCCTGAACAGAGGGAGTCTGTCTTCCTCTCCATGGCTCCACCATGGCCCTGAGTTGGTGCTCGGCCATTGGCACACAGCCATGAGGTCACTGAACCAAGTGACCCCGCCTTCAGGGGACCCCCTCCTGCACTGTGGCCCTCGCTTTTGCCCAAAGTACCTCCTAGAACGGGGGGGGGGGGGGGGGGGCCCGAGGGTCCCGCCACGCCCTCTACTTCCTCTCATTGTGCCTCCCTTCCTGTGTAGGCTGTGGGGCTGGGGACATTTTTCCTCCCTTTGAGGCCTGCCTGGATGGAGCTATTTCTCCATGGCACCTCTCCTGACATCTTCCCAAAATGCAAATCTCTGACCCGCTGGTGGCCCCAGAATCTGCACACGCGGGGTCAGATCCTGCGCCACACATTGGGCCGAGCGGTGAGGGCAGGGTCTTCCCTCTCGGGACTTTCACATCCTCATTTGTGAAGGGAGAACTATTGTAGTAACAGCCCTGGTGGATGGGGAGTCAGTGAGCTCAGGGCGCCCACAGTCCTGGGGGGTGTGTGCTGGGGTGGCGCCCGCCTTCTGGCGTATTGTCCCAGCCAGACGGTGCTGGGCCTCCGAGAGAGCCAAGCTGGCCACCCGCTGGATGCCTGCAAGTCCAAACATCCTGTCCTTTTCTGAGCTCCTTACTGGAAAAGCGGGGGAAAGCTGTGTGTGTGTTTTTTCCTTCTGCCCATATCGGGTGACTCAAAAAAACACACAAGCCCAGCTGGGCTGAGCTACTTGGCTCTCTGAAGTTCAGGAGCAAATCGGAGCTGCCGAGCAGGGTGGCTGGCGGTTCCTGTCCTGGATTAGGACCCAGGCCGTGGGAACCGGACCACCCCTGAGGCAGGAGGGCCACCCCGATGTCTCCCCGGGGCCTGGACCTGCCTCGGAGCCCCTTCCTCCTGGGGAGGGGGGGCCCTGGGCTCATGCCCTCCCCACCCCTCCTGCCTGCCTCCCTGCAGGTGAACTTCCACAGCCCCCGGAGCGGCCAGAGATGCTGGGCCGAGCGGACCCAGGCGGAGAAGCGGCTGGTGGTGCTGGTGGCGCTCCTGGCGGTGGGACTGGTGGCCTGTGTGGCCGTGCTGAGCATCCAGTACCGGACAAGTAGGTGCCTCTGGGTTTCATTGTGGGCTTGACGCATCCCTACCCTCAGCTCTGTCCACCTGTGCACGGGGCCCCCCTGGGACTGGCCCCAAAGGCCCCAGAGGGAGCCTCAGCTGGCAGACTCTGGTCGCGGAGACCTGGAGGGTGGGCGGTATGGGTGGCGTGAAGGTTTCCGTGTCCAGAGGTCATGAGTCTAAATCCCAGCCCAGCAACTTACAGCTGTAGGATAGCCTCGGACAGGGCACTCCATCTCCCAGAGTTTGTGTCTTCTCCACTTGAATAGGGACAATGGTGCCCAGTCTGGGGGTGGCTTGGAGGGTTAGAGGTCACGTGTACACGAACTTGGTGCCTGCCAGGACCCCTTAACCTCAGCGGTGGGTGCTGCTGTCGTTAGGATATGTGGGCTGGTGAGACACCCGGGCTGGCATTGCCTGCCATCCTTAGTCCCAACAAAACAGCCATCATGACTTCCATTTACTTAATCCTGTTCATGCGAATGCCGCACCTCATCTTTAGTCTCATTTCCTCCTCCTGACAGCAGCCCCGGGAGGTGTGGTTACTGGTGGCCCCAGTTTCCGAATGAGGAAGCTGAGGCAGCGACTTGCCCGAGGTTATACAGGGGGGACGGGGAAGTGGAATTCAACCACAGGCCCTTGGGCCCCAGAGCCCAGGCTCTGCCTCCTTTTGTAATCTGGGCGCACCAGTGTGAGGACTCCCCGAAAAGCTGCCCTCCCGTGACCCAGCTGACCTCTGTAATCGCATCCCGCTGTCCTATCTTGTGTAGTGATGTGATTGGGGCCCTTTCCATCCTGCTGTGGTTCTCTGTGGCTGAGAGAACCCAGCCCAGTGCCTCACACAGACTCGATGTTCAGTCGGCGTTTATGGAGCTGGAGAGGGTGGGGAGTCCAGCTGGTCTCAAGGCCTCTCTCACTCCCTGGGCCCCAGCGCCTCGCCTTCCGGGGGCAGATTCTCCACTTGGTTGAACAGCCTCGGTTGACCTGAGGGCCCAACCCCACAGACATGGTCACCTGGTCACTCATCCCATCAGAGAGATTGTGAACCTTTTCAGGATCTGGGGATGGCCACCCAGGCTTCGCTGGGCCTTGTCCACTGTGAGGGTGCTGGCCCTCCTGGTGGCCCTGCTGGACTAGGATGAGAAAAAGGTTTGGGGGCCTGGAGAGAGGGCAGGACTTATCTGAGTCTCACCTAATCCCTCCTGTATCAAGTTATGTTTACTCATTCATTCATTCATTCATTCGCCAGGAGCTTCATGCACATTTGATTAAAGATGTCCATGCTCTTAAGCATATATACTTAGTTAGCATAATGCCTGCACTGCCATAGGTGTGCAAGTCGTTTGCAAATTGAATAAATAAAGGACACAATGGACAAGAAGGAGGAAAAGCTGGGAACAGCCTTTCTCTACCAATCACTCTTGTCCTGTAGCCGCCATCTTGCTTGAGGCACTATCTTGCCTAACTATCAGCTTCGGTTCAGAACACTCTGCTGGTTAATGTGGACTCTGCCCACCCTCCTCTGCCCAGCTCCTGGCTCTGTACCTGGGGAGCAGGCGAGGCTCCCGCAGCCAGTGTCACCCTGAGGCTGGCCCAGGAGTCCCCAAGATGATTCCCCACCAGAAGCCAGAAGGGACCCCCAAAGGGTGGCTTCTTGTGATCGGGCTGCAGAGGGGCCCACGGCAAGGAATCTTGTTTCTGCCTCCATCCCAGCCTTCTCGGGGACGTAGCAGGGTTTTCCCAGCCTGGACCTGGGTGAAAGGAACTCTGGGTGGAGCTGGGTCAGGATCAGGTGACCCATAAGCCAATCCATGTGTTTTCGTTAGCTGCCCGGGCCTGGGAAAGCAGTGGCCACCCCAGATATTGACTGTAACCTCATTACCCAGCAGCAGGTGCTGGCACCGGCCACATCTGAGCAAACATAAAGCCAGACAAAGCAAATTCTCTGTACGTTCTGAAAGACCCACCTGTAAGTTATGTCTGGGCTCTGAAATACATATTTATCCACCTTCCTGCTGCACCCTCCCTTCTAGAAACGTGCAGGTGCTTTACAAACAGCAGCAGCAACACACACTCAGTGTGGAGGCAGGTACTGTCCAGACAAGTGCCTGGGACCTGCTCTCTTGAGTGATCATGCCCATCCTAAAGGGAAGAAATATTTTCTACTCCTACAGGTGGTGACCAAGTGCTGGATAAAGCTCGCTCATTCATTCATTCATTCATTCATTCATCAAATATGTATTGGACAGTGTTAGGTGCCAAGTACAATGCTGAGCAAAGGAAATATAAAAGCACATCAGATGCTGCCCTCCCCTCCAGCTCACATTCCAGTGGGGGAGGTAGACAGGGAGACGGCCGTGACACCCCTTAGTCTGTGATCAGATCTCAACAACCAGGCAGCCAGAGAGGGATGAGGGTCTGGAAAGGTTTCCCCAAGGAGATGGAACCTTGAGTATTGACCTTGACATCAGATGAGGAAGCAATTAATTAATCAAATATGCATAAAGTGCCTTCTGGTTAGGAATGGTTGGTTGGTAAAGGACCTACAAACCATCAAATAGTTAAATTATCAAAACTGATTGCTTAAGCACCACCTAGGGACCTTGCCCTGTGCCTACAGAATAGGTGCTTAAAGTGCTATTAACTCGGGCCATTCCTGGGAACTGATTTCTTACTTTGTTTTAAACCAAGTCCCCTTTTGATAACTACAAATCTCTCTCCTTCTCTCTCTCTCTCTTTCTCTCTCTCTCTCTCTCTCTCTCTCTCTCTCTCTCTCTCACACACACACACACACACACACACACACACACACACACACACTGGTGGATTTTGCTCTCTGAGGATCACCCTCTCACGCTGACTTCTGGGCATTCCCGGCAGCCAAGAATTTGTCAGGCTTTGCTTCCTGTAGTTGGTTGTACAAAAACAATAAGTATTATTTTCCTCTTATATCATAATAGTGAATAGGCTTTTTCAAACCACACGGAAATTACCCCCCTCCCACGCCCCTCCCCCCCCCCCAACTCCCGTAAAGATTCCGGTGCCTTCCCTGGTGGGCAGTGGGGCAACGTTGCTTAAGATGATCAATCTAGACAGGTTCCTACTGTTTTCTCCTCTGTTTTCATGCCTAATGGCTCAATCATTTTTAATTGTTGGATAGGCATCTCAAAACAAACAATTACCTCAAAATAAAGTCACCCTGATTTGGGGCTGTTGCACAGCCTCCGAGCCCTTGCTCGATCCTGAGGCCTTTGCATTTTTAGAAGATGTTAGACACCTGCATGCCACTCAACCCGGTGGGCAGTCTGTTTCCGGGTGAGGTGACTCTGCCCCGGCCAGCCGGTGCCTTCTGTTCTCCTCTCTAAAGATCGGCCTGGGAGCCTGGCACCCTAAGACCCGAGCAAGCTGAGCCCCATGCCCAGCCCTGAGGTCACTGCATCATCTCTGTGAAACTGGTCCTGCTGTTCCCCTCGTTTCTATTGATAGATGGAGAAACTGAGGCTCCGAGAGAGGAGGTCACATGTGCGAGGCCCACAGCCAGAAGCAGCAGCTGGGAATTGAACCCGGTCTGAGCTCACGGTGCCTGCCCTGCCTCACTCCTCCCTGTGGAGGAGGGAGATGAACTCACCAGAGGTCGTCGTAGCCCCACTGCCCCCCATCCACCCCATGTTCCCGGCAAAGAGGCAGCGAGGGAAAGTGGGAACCCCCAGCCAGAACCCCCGGCCATGGAGTTGCTGCAGCAGGACGAGCTGGGTTCATTCTTGCTCTGCCTGCAGCTGCGTGACCTTGTCCCCCTCTCTTGCTCAGAGCCTCAGTTTCCTCATCTTTAATCGGGCCTTGACGCCTGTATCTGAGGCTTGTCCTGAGGCCTGCATGCGATCACGAATGTGCGTGAAGTACCCGGTGCAGAGCTGCGGTCAGGAACAGTCCCTCTTGTTGCCGGCACAGCTGTGTCAACAGACAATTCCGCGGGGCCTGTTCTTAGTCACCAGCCTGGACCTCGGCCTCTGTCTCCTGTTGTCAGCTTCCTCTCGCTACCTCGGGCTGGGTCACCGCTGAGGCCGCCCGCAGTTCGGTTCCTTTGCTTAGAGCCCGCGGATGGAACTTGAGGCCGGGGTTCGGCCCGCTCCTCTTGCCCTTGGCCTTCGGACAGCCCTCTGCTCACGTCTGTGAGAACTGGCTCAGAGGAAGCTGACTTCTCTGCTCATGGTGTTTTGGGGGCACTTGTAGGATTTGCAGGCCTGCCCGCTGCCCACCTGTGTGTACCAACTGCTGTCCCTCCTTAGGCCACACCTCACCAGGAGAGCTCCCTTCTAGGCCCAGAGCAGACAGGGAGAGGGTGGGCTTCAAATCCCGTTGGCCACTAAGCAGGGTGCTTGCTTCTCTGTGCCTCAGTTTCCTCTGCGAAAATGGCCTTACGCAAAATGATCTCAGGGTTGTTTCGGTTTGGGTTCTTTTGAGGATTCAGTGAGGTCACCCTCTTGCCTTGTGCTCAGTGGGAATGATTTTTTATAGTTCCTTCTAGTCTTGAAAGTCTTCCTTCTTCCTGAGTCCCGGCACCATAGAGTCTGTATTACCCGTGTGGCACATACTAAGTACACTTGGCCTGTGTTTGTAGAATGAATGATAGATGTTTCTCCCACTGTTGTCTTTTGACTTTTCCTTTATGATGTGTATCCCCAACTAACTTACTAGCTCTTGAAGGAAAGGACTACACCTTTCATATCCCTCACCACACACACATACACACACACACTGCACTCAGCAAGAACCTGAAAGGTACTCAGTCGTTATCTTGTTGAACAAATGAATGAGTGAATGAGTTTGCTGCACACCAGGGAACAATAAAAAGTCAGTGAATATTTGCAGAGGGAAGGACTTGTAAATACTTTTAAGCTATGGAAAGGATTTTAGGCAGCTAAACCAAAGTCTTATTTTATAAGCCAAGAAATAGAGAATCTACTGAGATCATTTCTCGGGAGGGGTCTATGGACCATCCAACTCGTCATCTGTTTGGTCAGGACCAGAGTGGGGCGTGGCGCACCAGGGCTGGAACCAGAGACTCCTGCAGCCTCCTCCTGCCTGCCCTTCACTGGCGCCCTGTGCTTGTCCCCTGCCAGGAGCGCCCCCGGTGTGCCTCAGCCAGGCCTGCGTCTCAGTGACCAGCTCCATCTTGAGTTCCATGGACCCCAGGGTGGACCCCTGCCAGGACTTCTTCACCTATGCCTGTGGCGGCTGGATCAAAACCAACCCCGTTCCTGACGGCCACTCACGCTGGGGGACATTCAGCAACCTCTGGGAGCACAACCAAGCCATCATCAAGCACCTCCTCGGTAAGCATCCCACAGGGGGGCCGTCAGCAGGACCTACCTGGCCAGGCCAGTCAACGGAGGAGCTTGGCTGGAGGGGAAGAGAGAGTACGTGAAAGTGGTTAGAATGCCTGTCCTATCACTTGTGTGCCGAAGTCCCTTATCTCTGAGCCTCAGTTTCTTCATCTGTACAGCAGGACTAATCATACCCCAACTGCAGAGTCTGTAAAGTGTTAGCACGGCATGTGTGCACATAGTAGGTGCACAAAAACTAGCAGCGTGGTCTTTGCTTTTGTGGCTTCAAGCTGCAACTCAGCTGTTGACTAGTTTTGACTGATTTTTTTTGCAAGTTGTGAGTGAAAGGAATCAAGGTTGATTTTAATGTTGTGAGCAGATAAAAGTCCTAACAGTTTATCTGAGAGTTACTCATTGAGGCAGCAGCCTTCCTTGGCCTCCTGATCATTGATAAGCCTCTAGCCAAAGTTCTCTTTGCTCCTTGTGAGGCCTTCAGCACCTCTAGTCGACCTTGGTGTTGATGGTTTTATGCTTAGATTAGAATGCCATGTCTGTCTTGTTTGCAGCTGTATCCCGCCTAGATAATGTGTGTTGAATTAACTGCCCGTTGTTGGGGCCGTCCTCAGTGAAATCACGATTCACAAGTGCTGTGACATACAAAGGTCCTGGCTTGAACCCCTTAGCAACCGAAATCTTGGCCATCATCTCTCTCTCTCTTGCTGATTCCATCCTGGGGTCCCAAATGGTGGGAGAGGTTAGATTAGGGGTGTCGAACTCAATCAGAGAAGGGGCCAAAATCTAAAATCCAGCCTAAGTTGCGGACCAAATGGTTTACTGAACAGTCATAAACTGTCATTGTGATGGAAACGCAGCTGAGTGCAGTGATGACAGCGCAGTGCGGGCCACATTGCAAGGCCTGGCGGGACGGATTTGGCCCGTGGGCCTTGTGTTTGACACATGTGGGTTAGATCATGAAAAGCCAATCAGTTAATCCATCAGTAAGAGAACTTAGATTTGACAAATACATATTAAGTTTAAAAATAACCAACGCTCAAGATACTCAAAAGTAGGTAAAATACAATACAGTTTTTGAAAGTAGGTAAAATAGAAGAAGATGTCTAAAAGGGGACAAATCTCAAAAGGGCCAGAAACCTCCTGGTGGGAAGGTTTTCTAAAAGATAAAAGATTCTAATTTGACGGTTATGAATTTCAGGCAACTGTGTCTTTTAATTTAAAATTATTTTTAAATATCTTAATTGATTTGAGAGAGAGAAACATGAATTTGTTGTCCCACTTATTTATGCATTCATTGGTTGATTCTTCGATGTGCCCTAACCGGGGATCAAACCTGCAATCTTGGGGTATTGAGACAATGCTCTAACCAACTGAGCTACCTGGCCAGGCGGCAATTGTGTCTTTTAGATAAAAGGAGACCTTTCCTTTCTTTCCCACCCCAGGGGCCGCCGCCGCCGCTGGGTGAAACCCACCCACCACTCCTTCCTGGCCCCCAGCAGCTCCTGGGCAGGGCCCCTAAGTAGCCCCCTTCCTAACACAGCCTCCTTCTTGTGTTCCTGAGGATCAGAACACGGTTCGCTGCTCTGTATGTTGGGACAGCAAAGCCCCTGCCTGCTTTATGCTACCCAAGTGCCTTTCACTTCAGAAGCTGGAGCTTAAAAGGCCAGTTTGTCTGTGGTCGCCAGACTACAACTCAGGGACGCCCTTTCCCAGCACCTAAAGACACAGCCAGGAGCTGGGCCAGCACCGTCAACCAAAGAGGGGGATCGTCCAGGCGAGAGACAAGATGGGTTCGAATTCTGCCTCGTCCTCTTGCTGTGTGATCTTGGGTCAACTCCATGACCTCTCTGGGCTCCGTCTCCCGTCAGTACGATGGGAACTATGCCTCCTTTCGGTTATGAAAATTAAAGGGGAAAATGCATACATACACAGTGCTTTGTTTGCATCGGCCTGGCACGTTCTGGAGGCTCTGTTTATGATGGTGTCACTGTTTTTCACACTTGCCCTTTGCACAGCACTTCAGCGTGTACGGAGGTGTTTTTGTAGAAATCACCCATTGGGTCCTGCAGGGGAGAAGCGAAGAGGCGCTTGGTAATAAAGAAACAGATCCTCAAGATAGAGGGGAAGGTGGCAGAGCTGGGACTTGCCTGGCTTCCGGGCCTGTGTCTTTACCCCTGTCCACACCACCTCCTTCGGGGACAAGGGGCAGTGTGGCTTCCTTCTTGCCTTGGAGGAAGCCTGCAGGCAGACAGCTCAGAGCACTGGGGGCATGAAGGAAAGAGAGAAAGAGACCGACGTTGACTCAGTGTCTGCTCTGTGCTATGCACTGCACCGGTCTCTTTAACCCCCTTCCCCGCCCCACCATGTCCACACAGCTGCCCTGGGATGTAGGCACTGAGCTTCCCATTTTATAGATGAGGAAACTGAGGCTTAGAAGTCTTAGGTAACTTTACCAAGGACACACTGCCAGTCAGGATGGGGAGCCGTTAGCCCTGAGAGGGGACAGGGCAGAAAGGCATAGGGGCGGGCCCTTGAACTTCCCAAATAGGCCCAGTACGGGCCCTTGTGTATGGTGCCCGCGACCCTGACCCTGCTGTTCTGGGGCTGGTTCTTACCAGGAGGACCTTGGGTCTGTGTCAGGACTGAGGCCACCCCCATGTGGCAGGGCCCATGAGGAGTGGCCTGCAGTCCTGGGCTCTGGCCTTCCATCCACCCAGCCCCTGAAGGTCAGGTATGGGTGGGGAGCTGCGCTGAGCTGGGCATGGAACAGCCAGAGCTGTGTGTTCACGCCCCTGCCCTGGTCCAGGCGCTGGTGATATCAGGAGGTCGCGCTGCAGGGTTTTGGGGTCAGGCAGCCCTGGCATGCGAGCCTCTCACCCACGTGGCCTTCAACTGATGAACCAGCTTCTCTCCAGCTCCGTTTCCTTGTCTGTAAAACGGGGGTGATGATGCCACCTCACCCACCAGGTTCCTGCGAGGTTTGACTGGCACGGGAGGGTCAGCGTGCTTAGCACAGAGCCTGGCACCAAGGAAGTGCTCTCACCTGCTGGTGTGGCAGGTGGCTTCCTGCCCAGGCTTCTGCCTAGCCAGAGGGTGACTGCAGAGCGGCTGCTCCGCCCTCGGGGCCCCAGCTCTCCACTTAGAAGGGGGACTCGCTCAGAGCACTGGGAGAGGCGTCCTAGGGGTTCCCTGGGGTTTGAGGGTAGTTATTGCTCCTGTGATTGCTTACGGAAGCACTGGATGCACCAGGTACCAGGGCATGCCCACGATCGTGCTGAGCCGTTTACTTGTATTTTATTAAAGCCACGGCGTAGGCTGAATCTGCCCATTTTATGGATGAGGCTCACACACACAGAGGAAATGTATTTCCTAGGAAATGAGGGAGCTGGGGTTCAGCCCTGGGGCTGAGAGGCCTCAAACCCACATGCTTTCTCCACTGACTCTGCTGAGTCACCTTCACCGCGCAGAGGCTGCGGAGCGGCCACAGTGGTTCAGGCTCCTGTGTGGTTGAGCTCCAGGCCGGGGAAGACCTGGCCCAGGCCTGGTGAACACAGCAGCCGGGGCCACCCCCATGTCCTACTGACCAGGAGCTTCCCCGGGAGGTGTATCCTGGGGTCCTCGCCCCCCCAGGCCCATTCCTGGGAACTAGCTGGAAACCGCCCTTCACCTTTGGGCCTTGGTACCTGGCAATGCCTGAACAGCCAGGAGACAGGTGAGTGGGTGACAAAAATTCAGGAGCGTGGGCCAGTGCATTCTTGGGCTCCAGGCCAAGCTGGTCTCAGCTTCCCCAAGACAAAGAGGTCAGCCAGCGGGCTTCAGGAGGGAGCTGAGGCCAGTGGGGAGTGGACCAGGCCAGGGTGGGTGTTTGTGGGGGCGGTGCCAGGCTGTCCCAGCTGGCCTGGGATGAGCTTCCCCAGATAGAAGGAGGAGAGGGCACAGGCAGAGTGCCAGTGAGGACTGTCAGCTGGCCACGCAGAGCAGCTGTAAGGATCAGCTTGCACATGACCTTGGGCAGTGAGTTGACCCCAGCCCCTCAGAGGAAACCCAAGCAGGCGGGTAGCAGGTGGGTTGAACTAGGCCTAGTGCCACCATGGCATGTCCTTGCAGTCTGCTGGCTGGAGGGCAGTGACCTCAGCGGCATGAGACAGATGCCTCATCCGTGAGACGCTGCCGCCCACCCAGCTGCCAGCTCGGGCTGTCCTCCTAGGAGACGAGAGTGCGCCCTCCCTTTATCAGGGGAAGGATCGCCGCTTGGGCTGGGCCTGCCCTGGGCTTGCCAGCGTGTGCTGTTAGCACAGACTGTTCTGCCACCCAGAGTGCCTCCCCCACCCCCTTTCAGGCCTGCGAGACTTTTCTCAAACTTATTCCTCCCTTATGGCTACCAAAGGGCCCCCCGGCTTCCGCTACAATACGTTTTGTGTAGCTGTCATATTTACTGCACCTTCTATTGTGAGAGTGATACATGCAAAAAAATAGTCATGCCTGTTGTAACCACTCAGGCGATACAGATTCCATGAAGAGAACGTTAGCCGTCTTTCTTTCTCCTCCCCCTGACCTGTCTCCCTGAGAAACACATACAGGGTTATTCCCGTGGCATTAAATTTGTCCTTGTCAGTAACTGGGCAGTGAATCCTGTCACCTGTGACAGCTCTTGCGTTTTTATCCAGATTTATTTTCCCAGGATTTACTGTCTAATGTAGTTTCATCTTCCTGCGTAGCCTGGAACCCGTAGGAAACGCCTTCTGTCCAAGACCATGACCGCAGCCGCCGCCCTCCCCTCACGTCTGGGGGACGGTTAAATGGCCGGATGGACAACCTGACCCCCGAGGGTGGGAGGGAGTGTCCAGCCTGCAGGCAAGGCAGGGAAAGCGGAGAGAGCTCAGGCTCCCGTCCGGGCAGCCTCGGGAACTCACTTGGGTGACCTTGGACCGGTTACCTCACCCCTTGCCTATCACTGGGGCGTGATCCTAACACCCACTGGGGGCGGTTGTTAT